AACTGCGCCGAACAGAACCGAACGGCACCGAACAGAACCGAACCGCACCGAACAGAACCGAACAGAACCGAACCGAACTGCACCGCCCGCTGCACCCCAGGGTCCGCGGGGAGCGCTCGGGCGCGGGCACGTCCTTCCCAAGTGACTGCCCGGAGCCGTCCCGCTGGAAACAGCGGAGCGACAGTACCCCAGGAGGGGCTGGGGAGGGAGGGACAGAGCTCCTGCCCCATCTCCGGAGGGGACAGAGGTGCTACCCCTTCTCCGGGAGGTCCGACCGCACTCACCGGCAGCCCGGCCAGAGGGGCTCCCCGCCTCGCTGGTGTTGGCTCTCCTCATCTTTCTCCAGCCCCTTTACCTTCAGCAGCTCCCACCCCTCTCAAGCCCTGTTGCTCTGGGACATTCTGTCCTTCACCAAACACCTCCCTGGCACCTCTCTGTTACCCCGTCCTCCCCATGTCCCTCCTCCCTGCGGTGTGGGTGACAGTCCCGGGCAGGCACACGGCCACGGCCACCGGCCCAGTGTTTTGTTTCCCGGTGCTCTGAGACCTCCGCTCCGGTGGCGATGCCTGTTGCTGCCCTTGCCCTGTCCCATGGAGGCAGCAATCCTCTGCAATCTCCCTGCGTCTCTGGCCAAGGAGCTAGGACAGGCCCTTAACCTCTGTTTTCCATATCCTGCCTATAAAATGGGGATAAAAGCATCTTCCCAGCAGGCTTCATAATTGCTTGTAAATCACTTTAATGCCCTGGGCTGAAAGGTGCTAAGTACAAATCATATAATTGTTTCAAGCATATTTCATCAAGTTAAAAGAAACTAATCCTATCTGTGCTTAAAAAAAAAAAAACAAACACACAGCACACCACACTTTAACTGGATAAGAGCCTAATGACCAGCTTCTCCCAGGAGAAAAGGGAAAGCGTACACTGACAGCGGTGTGAGAGACAAGTTACAAATGCCCAGATCAATTAATGGCAAAGAACACATCACCTCCAGAGAAAACAGCAGTTATTCACCTCGGATGAACTAGAAGAGCCCTGAGCTCACTGCCTGTGTCCCACTGGACAGAGGGGCTGGCATTGGTCCCCTCCTGCTCAGTCACCCCCACTCTGTGACAGTGATGGAGGAGGCAGGTCTCAGTTCCCTCCTCCACTCCGTGCCAGGGCCGGGCTGAGCAGCAGCACAACTGCTGTGACAGGGTGTGTGTGCCCCCGGGGAGCTGCTGGTGCCCTACAATTGCCCAGGCCACGTTAAATCCCTGCATCCCATCCCAGCTCCTGAGCTTCAGGAAGGCAACCCTTGCCCCAAGGCGCCAGCCTGGCCAGGAGGTCCAGCTGTGAGCACAGCAGCCCGAGTGCCCTCCTGCCGGTGGGCTGGCTGCGGGCAGGCACCGGCGCCGGTACTGAGCCAGCCCTGCCTGCAGGCCCAGCGGGCGTGTGCCAGCCCCGGCCAACTTAGCACAGACCAGGGCAGCTGCCAGACCTCTTTGTTTCCTGCTGTGCCCGTTTATTAGTGCAGCCGGTGAGGGCTTTCAGCCATGCTCAGGAGAGGAGAGGGAGAAGTGGTGCTTTGCCTGCTCGGACGGCACGGTGCAGCCCTGTGGGAGCCTGGGACAGATGTCCCTGTGCCTCCGGGCAGAGCCCCAGCCTAGGCAAGGCAGTCTTTCGCCACTGTTGAACAGGGCCTGGCTCTCTTGTGAAGGGAAAGGTCACTGGTCCCATTGGAATCGTGCCAATAAATGAGCTGGTGGATAGTGCCAAGCTCCTGCTGGGACAGACGTGTAAAATGAGCCCTGCTGTTCCTTGAGAGCTGTGTGGGCACAACCAGAGCTGCCTGTCCCTGCCATTGCACCACTGGAGCTGTTCCAGGAGCAGGGCTCCAGCACACAGCCCCTGTGCCCCAGTGCTTCATCCTGTGCCTGTAATTCACTGATGGGTGAAAAATCTGACACCCCCCAGCCCCGGTCTGCTGGGTGCCACAGCAAGGTGTCCCTCTGGATTTTGTCTGGTTGGCTGTGCCCAGCTCTTTAAGCCAGGTCGAGGAAGCCAATGCTGTGAACTGCTGGCTGCCGTATTTATTTGAAGGGGTAAATATAGACCTGCCCCTTGCACTGCCCCTTCATTGCAAAAGAGATTTTGTAAGCATTAACCGTGGCCCGCTGTGACTGACAAGCACACATTGACCGACATGTGGCCATAGGAAACCCTAGTGATTTGCTAATGTTTATTAACAGCTGCAGGGTCTCCTGGGGGCGAAGAGCCTGGCTTCCCATGTAGGGCACTGACTGGCAGTGATGGGGACCCAAACATGAGGCAGGATGCAGTGAGGGGGTTGCAAAGGGCACCAGATTCCAGAAGACTCAGGATGGGATCCTGTTGCATTGAGCTCACCCCTCTTGGGAAAGCAAGTTATTTTTTGATCCACTCCTGAACGCTGAGCTTTGCAGGGTAGGGAGGAAAAGCAGTGTGGCTCCCCACAGACAGGCAGAGGTCTTGGCACAGCTGTGTTTTTGGGAGGTGCTGTGGGGCTATGGGGCTGTGCCTGTGGGTTACTGAGAGCTGGGGTGACATGGCACCCACAATGAGGCTCGTGCTGCTGTGCTAACATTCATATTTCTCTGCATTTCCCACCCAGGGATGGACAGGAACACCAGCACCAGGGGCATGGAGGGCCAGCACAGCAGTTCCAGCCAGGAGGTGGTGAGTGTTTTGGGGGCTGCTGGCCACCCTCCAAGAGGAGAGTGGGAGCTGCTGCAAGGACCTGCTTCATGGTTGATAAATATAACTACTTTGCTTTAGGAAATGCTGCTTTGTCCCTTTGGCAAAGCACTTTGTACTGGGAGGGGAAAGGACAGTGGCAGGTCTGGCTAGTGGTGCTGGCTGATGAGGGGGACTAGGAGGGACGGGGGCACCTGGGCACAGTGACTCTGCACACCTGGATTTCAGCAGGAGGAATCCCCCATTGAGAGCTGACCTGGTCTGGGGTGAGGAAAAGGGAAAGCCCCTGGCTTCCCCCGGGACACCTGCAATTGGCAGCACAGAGTGATCTCGCCAGGGATCCAGCTTTTCTTTTCCTGCTATCACAGCCCACAGCAGCCCAGGGCTGTCCAGTGTTCCAACACATCCTACCTGGCTGTGTGTCCCATCCTGCCTCAGCTGCTGCCACTCCTTCTGCACCTTGTCCAAGTGAAAGGGACTGCTCCAAGACTGTCTCTGTCCTGGGCTGCAAAGCTAAACCGCCTGGGAGGTGGTTCATTCCAGACCTGACCCAGCTCCCTAGCTAAGAGGCGTCTGCCAGGCAGTGTGGTTGTCCCATCCTGTCCAGCTGCCCCACACCGATCTCGTGTTTCCATCAGCCCGTACCATGTGTGCCCTGTACCTCTGGCCATGCAGGAGCTGGCTCGGGAAGGGCTCAGCCTGGGGTGCAGGACCTGGGCCAAGCATTGCCTTGGCCGTACGGGAACCGTGGGCACTGTGCCGGGAGCAGGCTCTGACGCAGGCGGGCTAACAAAGGAGTCCCACCGGGGCTCTAGCCAGAGCCGATCAGGGCAGTCAGTGGGATGCTGATGGTTTACAGCCATGCTGGGTCTGACCAGGCTCCCCAAGGGACACATTCAGGCTTTGGAGTCAGTACTCTGCCCCCATTCTCGCTGTTTTGCAGTATTCGCGTGTCTGCGCAAGAGTTTAATCCCCCCGCCCCCGATTCAAAGGTGTTTCCAAGCCAGGCGTTCTGCCAAGCTGTCGGCCGCTTCCCGGCTCCCCCGGGGCAACCTACGGGGTGCAAATGTCTTGTTTGTCAGCCCTGGCTCCAACAGGTGCCCGCGGCCAGCAGGTTTCCATGGCCCTCGGCGCAGACACGGGACAATGCTGCATTAAATGTGGGGAGGCGATGAACCCATCCAGACCTCAGCATCGCCCTCCTCCCCGGCTGAAAGCCAGGTCAGCACCTTCTACCTCACTGCCTGCTTTTGGAGACACAGAACATACCCAGGTTCAAGGACGGCTGCTGTGTCTCAAGCGACTCTTGGCCAGGGCCAGGTACAGAGAGGTTTGTGTTCCTCAGTTCTGGACAAACAAGTTTTCACCACCGAGGCAAAATACAAACTGTTGCAACCTGAGGGGATGCTTTTCCCTGGAACTCAGCATAATTGAAATATAACAACACAGGGATTTCTCCAAACACTAAACACTTCCTCCTGCACCAAGAAAAACAAACTGAATGACCTTATATGCTGCTGCCTGCTATCATCTGTGGTAGCACTGAAAATGTGCATTTGAGCTCAGAGATGTTGCAGAAGCGTGGGAACAGTCCTGACCCTCCCAGATCACAGGTTTTCTTTGATCATGTTCATACAGGTGGAAAAAGATGAGTTTCTGTAAATGCCAGGACAAGGAGACAGTGCCCAGTGTGATGGCAGTGACGTACATGTCATGGAAAAATGGGTGCTGGGTTCTAAGAGATCTTAAGTCGGAACAGCCAAAACTGCCTCTCTTTAACTCAAGAGTGATGATGGGAAAATGGAAATTTGAAACATTTCCAGCTATTAAGTGCTTTTGCATTTATTTTTGGCCAATGAGATGTTCAGCTTGCCTGTGGGGGTTGTGTTCTGTAACTCTTCCAGGAAAATAAGCATGAGGAGAAGGTCCAAGATCCTGACAGAGGGAAGGACGAGACCAAGGCAGAGATGGGGAGCAAAACCTGGGCAGACCTGGCTGGGGAGATGAAGATATTCCTGTGGAACCCGGAGGAGAGAACATGCCTGGGGAGAACAGCCAAGAGCTGGGGTAGGTCCTTGCTCAAGCCCTGCTTCTGGGGATTGTTGCCTTTTCTGCTTCACAACAGATTCACTTAACTGTGAATGCCCTTGATAGCTTGGACTGAGCACCCCTGTCCATTTTTTTAGTGTAAATATTTCTAGCCAGTGCAATAAAGAACTAGTGAGGAGGACAAGCAGAAAACTCTTGGTCTGGATGTTAATGTTGACTCAGAGTGTGAAAGCAAAGATTTCAGGCTGCCCAGACTGAGTCCTGGAAAGAAATTTAGAGTCTGAAAAAGCATGGGGGCTGCAGGTCAGTCTGCTGCAGCCATACATCTCTGCTTCTGCCAGCACCCCAGCTCCTGCCTGTGTAAGTCAGGAGCCTGTGGGACAGTGGCTTTGGGGTCATCAGGTTGGTAGGGGAAGGATACTCAAGCTGTAGGGCAGGTGTTTTGTGAAGGGTGCACACCACAGGGCTGAGCAGCCCTCCCTGCCCATGTGATCCCTGGCTCTGGGGAGGGAAGGGCTGGTCCCCACTGTCACCCCACAGCTTCCTGGGGTGTGCCATGGTGC